CAATTCCAATCGTGCCTTCTTTCTGTGGGAGAGGGACGGAGACGGGGGAGGAGCAGGCGTCCTGACTGCAGTCACTGTCCATTTCTTACTGGGTGGTGAGTACATGGGTATTCATTTTATTATCCTCCTGTAAACTGTACACATAAAAACATACATTTGACATCCTGTGTATATGAGAGAACTCACAATTTAAAAAAAAAAGATAAAAGAACGTGTACTGGTAAAATATATGGCAAAAATTGAGAAGGTGTCACTTGATTGATGAAAGTAAAGGTCACTCTGTGCCAGAAAAAAAAGGGAGGGAGGAGCTGTGAATTTAGTATATTTCTTACCAGAGAGCCTATGGATTCTTCTGGGACACAAGTGCATACATGAGCAATAATATAGTGTGCCAGTTGGGGAAGGAAGGAGGAAAAGAAGGAGGGATGGAAAGAGGGAAGGAAGAAAGGAGGGAGTGATGGAGGGATAGAGGGACAGAGGGACAGAGGGACGGAGCAAGGAGTGTAGAGAAGGCTGGCCTGCGCCGGATTTGTGAATAATTGATTCTGCACAATGAATGGAATCTGTGTTGTCTGGAAAGAGTTCAGTGCTTATCTTGACTGAGAGAGAGCTCTGTTCTCTTGTAGAATTTAACCCAGTGTGTCTTCAAGTCACTAGTGGTAGAATGACAGCTCAGGTACACCACGGAGACTTGCTTGTCAGACATCAACCACGATGCCATGTTGTTACAGGTTTTCTTCCTTATAGAGTAATCACTATTACTTATGCAGAATGACAGCAGCTGCCTGATAAGATTTAATGTAATCTGAAAATACAAGAAATAGCCCAGCTATGTGAGACACTGGGTGTACCCAAAGGGAATTTTTTTTTTGAAAAGTCAGGACAGGAAGGGGAACATTAAGGACATAACTGACCTGTGACAGACTGTACCTTTTGCTTTGGTTTCATGGGAACTGGAATCGTAGGTAAATAATCCAGTATGTTGATTACAGGCTTAAATCTGCATTTTTTATCTTGAATTATTTTTTTAAGTTCAATAAATACAAAATAATATTCATGACAGATTTTTAAAGTACAAAAATATTGATAAAAGCCAAAACTTGGGTGCATGCCAAGCAGCTTTAAAAACAAAAACAAAAAACCGTTAATAGAAGCTCTTCCCACATCCTACCTGCTCCACTTTCCATCGCGCCATTCAAAGTAATGATGACTCTGAATTTCATTTATATCATTCCATGGCTTTTATTTATGTTAAAACCAGTTGCTGTTGAATTGATTCTAACCTCTGGTAACCCCACGAGTGTCAAGAGTACAACTGTGCTCCATAGGGTTTTCAGTAGCTGATTACAGGTTTATATATGTTCCTAAACATTAAATTCTTTGCTTTTACACATTTTTTAATTTCACATAAATACAATCACACTGCATGTTTTCTACTAAGATTAGTTTTTTCCACTTAGCACTCAGTTTTGAGATTCATCGAAGTTGAGGATATAAAACAAAACCAATTGCCTTCCAGTCAATTTTGACTCATAGCGACCCTACGTGTGCCTTTAAGTCATTCATTTTCACTGCTCTATACAATCCCATTGTATGAATACCACGCCTTATTTATCCATTGTTCTTACTGATGGATATGTAAGTTGTACGCAGGTTTTTTGTTATTATGATGCTTGAAGTTTCTTGTAGTGTCTCCTGGTTCACACATGTGTGTTTTTCTAGGTCTTTACCTAAGAGTGAAATTATTGGGGTACAGGTCATGCGCATCTTCAACTTTATTAGATAATCTAAGTTGTTTTTTAAATTTGCCTGGAGCCCTGGTGGCACAGTGGTTAAGAGCTTGGCTGCTAGCCAAAAAGGTCAGCAGTTAGAACCCACCAGCTGCTGCTTGGAACCCTTACGGGGCAGTTCTACTCTGTCCTGCATGGTCGCTATGGGTCAGAATCGACTCGAAGGCAACGTTAGTAATTTGAACTCCCACCGGCATTGATTGACAATTCCCCTTGCTCCATATCTTCATCTGTCATTTTTGCCACTCTTCTGGGTGAGTATTCATCAAGCCCCCTTTAACCATACTTTTAAGTAACCACAGATGTGACTTAATCAGTATACAAACCATACACTTAAATCTACACCCACCATTTAAGGTTAGTGGCCCATGTTGAATGGGGCTGTGGTCTTTTCGGTCATTTATGAAAAACAAGGTTTAAAAAAGAAGGATAACTCTGCTGTTTTCCCAGAAAAGTGCTGACTGACAAATAAGAGGGAAAAAGTCATAATGTTGGTGGTAAAAATGAAATATTGTATTTGGCACTGTTGGGAAATCACCCAGGTTTTGTGGTTTCTGATTTCATAACTACAAGATATTTGGATCAAAGTATACTTACTTTAGGTGACATATGAATTCATAATCCAAGGAAAAAAAGCCTCATTAAAAAAAACATTAAATATATCTTACAAAAGAACCATTTAGCTTGGCAAAATATTAATGAAATAAAACACATGGGTTAGATTTTTCTTAAAATACACATAGGAATAAAATGTGCCCAACAAAATAACGCTTTGGGTTTTGACAAACTGAAAACATCTGAAAGTAACCTAAGAGATTTCCTTAAACCACAGCGTGTTTCGAGCCTTGGCCTCCACTTAATTAAGTGTTGTTCTAATTCTGAAGCACGTTAAGGAACAGATGTGCCCAGTCTACAAACCGTTCTTCATGTGGTAGTCAACATACAGCAGTGCCGACCTTAAAAAACTATTTAATTTCAGAGTCTTACCTTCTTAGCACGTTTCCTATCAGCCTTACCAGTTGTTTTCTAAAATCCCCTTTAGTTAAGAAAGTTAGCCATTGTTTTGTCCTTGAAAATTTAGGGGAAAATCTCCTATAAGGACTCAAGGATAAAAAAGGTAGATAAGATGTTTCCCTGGTTAACTGTAACACTGTTGCTTATAAAGAACCAGAGTTACATGTGCCCCGCAGAGCATAACGAATTCAGGTGTGTTTCAAGGCAAGTTATTACTTTGTTCAGTGTCTCTATGATGTGAACTCTTCAACTCTTAAAACTAAGCTTGTAGAAATGACACAAAAATATCCGTAAATGCCATTTTAAAGCAAATGTATTAAAGTTCAGTACAGTCCCAGTGCCTACATAGAGTAATTTTTTAATCTTATTTAAAACAAATAATGCATTTTAAAGATAAAAGTTTAACTGCTTTAGGATTCCACTTACAATACTGATGGTTTAGGTAAATCTGACCAGTCCTTCTGCTGAGGGCATTAATAATCTCTGGACAAAATATTTTCTAAAAATTGTGTGGAAAAAATGTATTTCAAGACTTGGTAAAGATAAAATGATAATAAAGTGTATTATGGATTGTATTATGTCCCCTCAAAACGTGTGTCAACTTGGATAGGCCCTGGTTCCCAGTATTCTGTGATTGTCCACCATTTTGTGATCTGATGTAATTATCCTATGTGTTGTAAATTCTAACCTCTATGATGTTAATAAGGCAGGATTAGAGGCAGGACTCGATCTACAGGGTCAGGTTGTATCTTGAGTCAGTCTCTTTTGAGATATAAAAGGGAGAGCCGAGCAAAGAAGAAAGGGACCTCATGCCAACAAGAAAGAAGCACCAGGAGCGGA